TTAGGGGCTTGGTGTACAATGAACAAATTTAGGTCTTGGGTCTTCATTGAATAAATTTAGTGTTGGGTATTTAGAAGCAGATCATCCAAAAGAGAAGGTGAGAGAACAAGATTTTGTAAAAAAATTGCTTGAAGATGTCAATTTTATTCTTGTTAATTAATTAAATTGTAAGTAAAATTTTGTCTCGGTTTGATAATTCTTCAAATTTGGAAGATTTCCGCTCAGTTACTCATGGTTTTTATTTTTTATTTTTGAATGATTGGTTTGTCCATGAATTTGTTAGTCCAAGTCATAAGACTTCTGTTAGTCCTTGTTGAATCTGATTCCTGCTTTGTAGGATTTTTGTTATCCGAATATCGTTTCTGATCTTTTAAAATTTAAATAGAATTATGATTAAAATTTATCTTGTTTGTGTACCTGTTGGCTATTAAATCTCCAGCCAGCAATGGAAGAAGAAGACACCAGCAACAGATATAGTGGCACAGGTAATAGAATTATAAACCCCGATCACGCAGCTGATGTTGGGATTTTTGAGCATCCCAACTCAGATGTCAACTGGAGCAACGCCGCCCAAGGCCAAGGTGGTGGAAGAGGAAAGAAACCCCAAGGTGAAGGTCACGAGATTTGTGAAAAAATAATTACCGCACTAAATGGAGAGTCAAATGTTGGGAAATTCAGCTTTCACAACTTAGTTGTCGACTTCAGCAATGGCGGCCGAGGGCAAGGTAGGCGTGAGTTCGAAGATATCTGTCACAACATTCGTGGTAATAAAATTACCGCAGGTAAGAGATCCACAAATGTTGGGTTTGAAGACTTTGGCAACGTCAACTACAACTGCAAGACTACTAGTACTAAAGATCACGGCAAAGCAGCAGGGGGCAAAGCAGCAGGGGGCTCGAGCAGGAGCCAAGCCAATATTCTCAAAAATAATATTACAGCACGCAATGGATCCTCAAATGTTGGGATGTTCAACTTTCACAACGTCTACATCAATGGCGACCAAGGTCAAGGTGGCTTCTTGAAACACAAAGGTATCAGTCACAACATTAAGGGAAATACTATTATAGCAGTTAATTCCCGAGTAGTTGGGATACAAGGCTTTGGCAACATCAAATACAACTGCGGGAGTATTATAAGTGGATTATTGCAATTTTTGGGCTTATCATATTAATTCCTGAATTTCTTTAGCCATGTGTGGATATACCATATGAGAATTTGATGCCATTGGACTCCTCCGCATTTGTATAAACTCTTTGTAGTTATTGTAAAACCTATTAGACGGCGTACATGAGCAAAACTTTCTATTCTCCACCACAGGTCTCATTGTATATTCTGTTTTTGACATGCTGCGGATGTGATTTTGTCCGGCAATTTTAATTACTTTGTTTGTATACAAGGAATATTTGGGATCAGTCACCAAAGAATAATTGGAATATTAGCTAGGGATTCTTCCAACCCTGATGATTCTGAAAAACACAATGGACTTTCATGTTTTAATTAGGATATAAAATAAAATTTCATTAAAAGCATTGAAAATATAATTATAAATTCATGTTAAGAAAATTGCTAATTAGTAACAGATGCCATAAGACGATATTAGGAATTCTTCCAACCTTGATGATTCTGAAAAACACATTGGACTTTCATGTTCACATCCTTCACATCGTGCTCATGCATGTTTTAATTAAGATTTTTTACATTGCATGTAAATATATCAAATAGAATTGCATTAAAAGCATTGAAAATATAATTATTAATTCACAAGAAGAATATTCTCTAGGTTAATTAATTGAGCCCATTTAATGAGGTTTTGAGGTTGGACTTGTTTTAAGAAATTGATGGCAGTTTTGTAATTTATAAGAAGAAAAAAGCCTCTTTGTTATGTTGTAAATGAGTTTTGGGTGTGTTTCTAAAGTCCATTTCATATATGGTATTTTTATAATTTAGGCCATTTCATATATGGTATTCTTAATACGGGAGATTATAATCTTCTGAGAAGAATTGTCGGCAATGATTGTGATGGGCTCCGTTGCCTACTACTTGAACACGCTTTTATCTTTCAAGACTTTTGCAGGCTCTACTTGAAGAACACGCTTATATTCATAATTTCATTAATTAATTGTGGGTGCTTTGCCCCTTCTACTTTTCCTCTATTATCTTTAGTAAACTAATAAGTTCTGATCAAGTTGGAAGAAGGAAGGACCATATTTCCATCATTTCATCATCTGCTCTAGTCGAATCGAAACTACGGACCCAGCCAGAACACACAGTTGGTATGCCTTTCCAATTATTTTCTTCTAATTAATTGTTTCATTTTTTAGTTTTTTACCCATATGTCGATTTTTCTTCTTCTTTTTTGTTATTTTTATTCTGTGTTTTATTATGGCTTCCACTGTAAACTTAGGATTTCGGTGTACTTTGTACAAATTTAGGGCTTCGGTGGTCACTGAAATTTTTTAGGGTTTGGGGATTTAGAAGCACAGCATCTAAAGAGAGGATGAGAGAACAATACTAACGTCAACCAGATTCGCTTTTAGAGTAGATTCTTTTTAGATTACATACGTGGTTTGAAGCTATAGGCATGTTCAATCAGGCTACTCTGAATTGCTCAAACCAAGTATGGATTTGCTTGAAGTGATCAATTTTTGGCATATGGGTCTGATAATTCTTCAAGGGCTCGTTTGGTACACGGGATTGGCTTGGACTGGCTTGGACTAAATTTAGTACCATGTTTGTTTTATCTAATCCTAGTCTTAGATGGGATTGCTAATACCGGGCCCACCAAAAACACCTCCTTAGGAGGGGACTACTAATCCCATGTGGAAGGGGAGGATTAGCTAGTCCCAATGCTCACCAATGTATAAATGCATATATTATATTGTAAAATTAATAACATATATTATTATTATTAAACTTACTTACACATATACTATAATGTACATATATACATGTATATACACATAAATATATAATATATGTATATATGTACATATATGTGTATATATATACATACACATATATACATATAATATATA